TTCAATACATTTTTAATAGGTACCATGCTTAAATTAATAATTATTGATAAATACTATAAATAAAATTTATTTTCAAACCATTTATTTGTTGTATGTTTCAGACATATGAAGAACTAAAATTTAATGTGAATTCRTTTTTTGATCTGATAAAAGAGCCTACATTAAAAAGACTCATATTAGTAAAACATACAAATGTTTTATTAGCGGGAATATGTCAATTATGTCTGTTACCAATTGCAAAACCTGGTTCAGAAATTGCAACAGAAAGTGCTATAGATCAATTAAAATATGAGCAATTGATAAATGAACAGAAAACATTTAAAAACATTCTCAAAAACCTCATTTTGATAGAAAGAGATCCTTTATTTATTAGAGAAATAATATTTGTTCTTGGTCATAAGGTATGTATTATTAAGAAAATAAAAAAATAATATTTTAGATATTAATATCTTGCCAAATCTTGCATTAGATGTTTTTGTATGTAATTATGATTGAACTTGAAATCATTTTTTTTTTCAAAATCTTTTATTAAAAATAGTTTTTAAGATTTTTTTTGTCTATTGATTAAAAATATAACATTAAGTAGATATTTTATTTTAATGTACATTTTGCATTTTTCGACAAATTTAACATTTTTAGAGTCTTTATGTTTTGTAAGAGATTTTTCAAGTTTTGGAGCATTTTTTACAACATTTTAATTTTCTTTTCAGTCTAAAATAATATTACAAATATACAGTGTGTTCAGGACATGAGGTACCACTTAATATTTTTACTGGATGACCTCGGATTGAAATGGTATTTTCAGGAGGTAATAGGGTGTACCCAAATACACATTGTCAGGCAAAATTCAAATTTGCAACTCTCTCAGTAGCAATACAACTTACTTTTTTTTCAATGGCAACACCGATTTTTTTATATGGATTCATGTAGAGTATTATTTTTKTCAAACAATTTTTGTACACAATGTCTTTTTCTAGTTATAAAATTGGCAAAGCTATAGTATGGTCAAGTTTTATATTTATGTAGGTATACTTGATCTGCTTGATCTGAACSACATTTTAATAATGTTCATTTTATAATATTGAGCTTTTTGATATTTTTAATTTGCTACTTACATACAAAGAACACTAAAATTATTTATTATCGTTATTTACTCTATCTACAGTTACAAGTTAATAAATACAAATAGTTGAAGTTAAATAAAATTTAAAAAAAATTAATACTACAAATTTGTTTATTTAAATTTTATTGAATTAACATATCTAATAATTTTAGAACTTATTACTATTGACTTATTTATATGTTTTATCTAATAAATTGTTCAAAGTTTCCATCTTGATTTTCTAAACATGATTCCAAATGTCTCAACAATTTGTGATGTTGCTGCTTTTATTTGATCTTCAGTTAAATTATTACATGCCACTTGTATTTTATTTTTTAAATCTTGTACCTACATTAGTTGGTGGATCTGCATATACAACGGTTTTTAAATGTATAAATAATAGTCCAATGGTGTCAAATTTGGAGATCTTGTTGGCCATGGGATTACCCCATAAGTACCGWTTCATCAGTTTGGAAATATTTAATTTAAATATTGTCGAACAATGATGGCATTATATGCTAGTGTACCATCTTGTTGAAAATATAGATTTTTCCGCATGGCTGATGAAACATCTTCAAACATTAATGTTAATTTACAATAAAATCTAAATACAACCAGTGAGTATTCCCTCATAAAAATAGGGACATAACAGCTTTCCATCAAATGATCCACACCACACATTGATCCCCCAAATAGTTTGAAATTTAGTTTCTCTAGACCAGTTTGAATTTGTATTATCCCAAAATTTATGGTTTTGTTTATTCATTATACCATTATTCGTAAATTTTGACTCATCAGTCTAAAGAATACAATTATAAAATGAACTGTCTATATCTAACTGAACATTAAACCATGCTAAAAACTCTAATCGACATTCAGAATCTCTAATACGTAAATGTTGGACAAAATCAATTTTATACAGATACATTTTGTATTTTTTCAAATTGTTATATTGTTATATACTGTGTCAACTGATTTACCTACTTCTTGAGATACATGTCTGATTGATGAACGTGGATTTTCACGTATGTAGTCCAATACCCGTAATTCAGAGTTTTCATCAAAATTATTTGGTCTACACTGTTTACGTGGTCTTTCATTTCGATTACCAGGAAATTCTTCATTTTAATTTAATCCATTTAAAAGTCTATGGAAATAATTGTGTGGTGATACCTATCAGGATACCGATCTGCATAAATTTGAATAGCTTGTCGAGTACTACGGTTACATTCACTGAAAATCAAGATAAGTTAAATTTTTTCACTGTTATTAATTTTAATAAATTATTGTAAAGCACAAAGAACAATTACGGAATAAATGTGATAGATCACTAGTCCCAAAGACTTCAAGTTAGATTCATCTGAAACAAAACTAGTTCATAATGTGTTATAATAATTATTATAAATAATTTTTTTTATTGCAAATAATAATAATTAATATTGTTAAATTATGACAATAACATATTATTATACCGGAAAATTATTATTATAATTCAGTTATCAATTTATTATAAATAAACCAGATTAATAATAACTTATAATGAAAAGGCAAATAATCAACTCAAGTGATTATAATTAGAGTAAATGATGATATGAAAATAGGTAGCTCAATTATAAAAT